CTAAGGAGGTGAATTATAAGGGAGTAGGAATAGTAACAGAGACTCCCCTTCAGGAGATTTTTTCAGTGTGGAAGCAAGAAATGATGGGAGTTTTATTATAAAATTTTAGAACATGTATAACAATATTATATAATTTCATATGTTTAGCAAAATTAAAAAGGCATGCATGGCAATGGTAAACAACAGATGCAAAGTTGAATAACCTCAGTGAGTGAGGGAAGAGAATGTATGGGGTGTTCATAGAAGGTTTAGATTGTATCTGCAATGTATATTTTAAGGGTTTTTTGTAAGTACAAGATGGTATTTATATTATTCTGTACACATTTTGTATGTAGAACTAGTTTGTAATAAAATAAATATAAATAAAAGACTCTTTCTATATATATACATATCAGTTAAGATAGGTTACGCTGCAGTAACAACCCCAAAGCTCAGTGGCTTAACACAATAAACATTTATCTTAAATGCTATTATACATGTCCAATGCAAGTCAGTACCAATGCAGGTTTATAAATAAGGCTCCCTATGTGTGTGTCAGTCAAGGTAGGTTTTGCCGCCGGAAAAACAACCTCAAAGTTCTGTGGCTCAACACAATAAACATCTATTTTACATGCCGTATATCCAAGGCAGGCCAGCACCAGGTTTATGTTCATTGCACTCCTTCAACCAATGATCCTTTACCACAGAACAGTTGGAATGGAAGGTTGTGGATGGCTCTCTGGCTCTTAATGCGTGCTGAGGGCACACACATCACTTTCACTTGTATATGATTAGTCAAAGAAAATCACATGGCCTCATCCGACTTGAAAAAAAAAGTGTAATCCTGTCATATCCGCAGAAGGAACAGGAAATTTAGGCATGATCAAAATGTTTAGGCATCTCCTATCCTGCCCTTCCAAGAAAACCATTTAAGGATGTTTCAAACTCCTCCATATCTCTTTTCTCGGTATAGAACTTCTATACCGGAGAAAGGGGGATGGTTCAGAGAAGTGTAGTGACTTATCCAAGGTCACACAGGCAGGAATGAATAGACTGGGTCACTGGGAAGAGCCCTGTCCTTGGTGCTGCCGAAAGCCCTCGTCTTTGACTTTCCTCCCAAACATCACATCAACTTTCTGGCTTTTTGCTTCCTCCCAGGACCACCTATGCTGCACTGAATATCTCTCTTTACATAGACTTTTTAAAAACTTTACATTTATAAACTTCGCATCATTACGTTACCACGAGCCACACAGAGACGGTAACCACAAAATGTTTACTGAAAACAAAACAAAGGTTCTTCAATGCTAATGAGGCTCCCTTGACCACCAGAGCCTCGGCTCTGTTTGTGTTGGTTAATAGGGACGTCCGAATTTGTCCCCGGGGTGTTACAGAACCCCACTACCCTCGCGGGGAACTGACAGGTAACCAGAAGAGGGAACAAACCCCCTCCGCCCGGGGTTCGGCCTCCCTAGGAACGCGCCGCCGCCGCCGCGCCACGCCCCCCACTGCCCTGCAGTGCGCATGCCCAGTAGCTTATGCGCAGCCCGAGCCCCGCCCCTTTTCAAAGCAACCATTGCCTTGGGGGCGGGGCTTGGGCACAAGATGGCCTCCGCGCGCCTGGAGTCCCCGAGTCCGAGCTCACCGACCCCGGAGTCGCGTTCCCGGGAGCCGCCGGACCTGGTGCGGGCTGGGGGCTTAAGGAGGGAGAAAGTCGCAGTGCAGGGGGCGGGGGCGGGGCGGGGGCGGGGAACCTATTTAGGGCTCTGGCCCTGGGGGTGGGGCTTCTCGGGCTTGAGCGAGGGGCGGGGCTTAGGGAGGACCCTATGGGGAGGGTGAGAGGGTAGGGGCGGGGCCTGGATTAGGACGGTGTTGCCTATGGGGCGAGTTTGGGTCCAGGGAGAGGGGTCCCGGGGATTTGGTTTGCATAATAAGGGGGAGGAGCCTTCAAAGACATTCTAGGGCTAGTGAACTTGGGTGGAAGGTTGGGAAGGTGACCCTGAAAAGTTGGAGGGTTATAATCGGGGTACCCTTGTGGGGTGGGGGAATGATTCTGCAAGGGTCCTAGTAATGCACCTCAAATGCCCAAGGGAGGATTTGGGGGTAGAAGTGGATGCTCCAGGTGACTTTGGAACCTCCTCCACATTCCCTCACTCAGGATTGGAGAGTAACTGCAGATATTCATTCAGTCAACAAACATTTACTTAGCTCCTACTTGGGCTCTGTAAGGAGAGGTGCCCACGACAGACAAGGGCTGTGTTCTCTTGGATTTTGTAGTTTCGTGAGGGGAGAAAGACAATAAATGGGATTTATCGTATTATGTTCTAGAAAGGAAATAAAGTAAGCCGATAGGGTGGGGGTGGGGTAGCTAAATTTAGTTGAGAGAAGTCAGCTGGGCGCTGGCTTTATTTATTCTGAGGTCAGAGAGAGAAGCAGGAGCGAGATCATGGTGGATATTACAGTGATGATTTTGGGTTTTAAGTGCAGCCGGAGCCACTGGAGGGTTTCGAGTGAGAACAATGACTTGATCTGGTTTACATTTTCAAAAGATCATTTAGGCTCTTCTAAGGAGGTGAATTATAAGGGGGTAGGAATAGTAACAGAGACTCCCCTTCAGGAGATTTTTTCAGTGTGGAAGCAAGAAATGATGGGAGTTTTAACTAGGGTGGAGGAGAGAAAAGGCTGGATTCACGATGTATTTTGGACAGGAGGGGAAATGTTGGTGGGGACGCAGCAGAATCCTGGAGAACGGAGAATAGGATCTGGAAAGTGAGGGGACCAGTAGGCTGCAAAGGAGCCAGATGTTTTAATAAATGGGGACATTTAGGGAGGTTTTGAGACAGGCTCCACAGGCTCCACTTTCTTCTCTCCCTGCCCAGGTCCTGGTGCCTGATGATGGCCGCCCCACCACACCCGCTAGTGACCTCATCGAGATTCAGGTGGTGAAGGTGACCGACACCACCCTGGTACCTGAGCCCCCGGAGCCAGGTTCTTTTCACTGTGCCTTGTGCCCAGCTGCCTTCCGGCTGGTTTCCGAGCTGCTGTTCCATGAACATGGCCACCTGGCCGGGGCCGAGGGAGGCGGACAGGCTGGGGACCCAAGCCGGTGTCATGTGTGCGGCCACAGCTGCCCGGGTCCCGCCAGCCTCCGCGCGCACTACAGCTTGCACACGGGGGAGCGGCCCTACCGCTGCCCGCGCTGCCCCCGCGCCTTCAAGGCCTTGGCCCCTCTGCTCCGGCACCAGCACCGACACGGGGTGGAGCCGGGGACCTCTCGGAGGCCTCCGGAAGCGGCAGCAGTTGGAGAACAGAGGCCGGGGGTGCCCCAGGAGAGGTCGGAGGTGGTGATGGCGGCGGCGGCTGCAGGCGCGGCAGTGGGGAAGCCTTTCGCCTGCAGGTTCTGCGCCAAGCCTTTCCGCCGCTCCTCAGACATGCGAGACCACGAGCGCGTGCACACGGGCGAGCGGCCCTACCACTGTGGCATCTGCGGCAAGGGCTTCACCCAGTCCTCGGTGCTGAGCGGCCACGCCCGCATCCACACGGGCGAGCGTCCCTTCCGCTGCAGCCTCTGCGATCGCACTTTTAACAACTCCTCCAACTTCCGCAAGCACCAGCGCACCCATTTCCACGGGCCGGGGCCTGGGTTGGGAGACTCTGGAGGCCAGCTGGGGTCATCGGTGGCTGAGGGGTCTGGGAGTGGGTGTGGGGCAGGGAACACTCTGGAAGAGGGAGGCGGGGAGACAGGGAAGGTGAAGGTGGAGGTTGATCAGTAGGCTGGGAGAGCCGGCCGTGAGGGAGTTAACATCGCCGTAGGTAGACTGCAAGGGGCTGGGGATGGCGAAAAGGAGGCAGGGGACAGAAGAGAGGAGATTGGGGGAGAGACGACGTGACAGCTAAATGGGAATAGCCATGAGCAGCTACCGTTGGAGAGCAGAGGGCGAGAACCAGGTTCCGGACTCCCACAGACCCACACAGCACCTCCGGGAGACTCAGAGAAAGGGACAGATAATGTCTTGTGGGTGCCCGGCTAAATGCAAGGGCCATGGGCTGGATTCCTCTGCCCTATTTGCCTTGTTCTTGGGTTATCCTTCTGCAAGACACAGCCTGTCCCAACAGAGTCTGGGCACTGCAGAGGGGGAGCATCTGGGTCCACCATAGTGGTCCTGGTCCGGTCCTTCTGGAGAACGCTGGGCTTTCTTGGGGGCTCCCTAGAGTGGACTAGGATGGAAACTTTTGCCTACCTCACTGGATTGCACTGCACCTGGGACGCCTACCCGCCCTCAGGCAGAAGACACCCACCAGGTCATCTGTAAAGAGACTCTGGGGTCACATCACCTCAAAGCCAGAGGGTCCCCAAGTCATAGCTGAGAGCACTTGAGCCTCAAGGATGTAAGCCTGACCATAGGGTCTTGACTCCAAGAGTGGCTACCCTCGCCCCCATGGTGGTCCCTCCATAACCCATCCAGACTCTCCTTTGGAGGCAACTGAGAACACAGCAAGCAGCTACCTAATATCCCCCTCCCAATGCTGTAGGCTCAGAGCCTGTGGTCCCGCACTTCTACAAAGTAGCCTCGGGTTTCTCTAATTGCCTCCACTCCCAGTTTGAAGCAAACAGCTTGCCGCCTAGGCCCAGGCAATCCCTAGGAAAGGCTGGCTAATGGTGACATGGCGGGGTGACATGGCCAGGGGTGAGAGGACTTGGGAGCTGGAGGTGGGAAACCTCCAGTTCTGTTTCTATTAAAGGACCTTCTGAAGGGTTTATGTCAGTCTTGTATTCTGGTGTCTGTTTGGGGGAGGTGGGGGAAGAGGGGCCACATTTTGGTCTTGCCACCAGCAGTGAATTGTATCATACCTCTCTCCAAACCTCTGTTTCCTCATCTTTAGAATGGGGGTGAATAGGCTTTGGCTATTTGGAGATGTTATGTCGTTCACTTGGGGGTGAGGGGGAGTCAGGGAGGTTTGGCAAAATGAAAGGACTCCTGTGATTGGCATGCTCGTTGAGGAGGGAGAGTCCCTGATTTGCACACGTTTCTGTTCACCCAGTATCCCCAATGAGATAACCCTTGGACAACTCAACAGGAACAGAACTCATTCTGTTTCTCCCCAAAGAAACGTCCATGTTTCCTATGCCATTGGTACCACTACCCAAGCCAGAAACTCGGGCAGGTTCTTTCCACCTTCTTTGTCCCTTATCCATGTATCTAATCCCTTACCAGTCTCCCTTATTCTATGGAATCTGAACGTATCTTTTCATCATCACTACTCTTGTACACCAAGCCAACAGTGGTCTCACATCCAGATAACTATGCAGCAGCCTGCTCCACTCTGCATACTGCAGCCACACGGGTCGTTGTCACCAACCCACAGCTCTTTGTGGCTTTAAGAAGAGTTCACAAACGTGAATGCCTACAGGAGCTGAGTGGAAATGTAAATGAGTGAGTAATGGTCAGGTTCAAGGGGAAAACACCAGTGAGGTGAAATATGGCTACTGACACTTGAGCTCAGTGTTGAGATTCAGTGAAAAGTGGTGGGGTTGGTGGCAAATTGGCGACTGAATGCCCCATTGGAAGAGGGTAATGGCTACTTAGATCTCGGGGGGGATGCAGCTTGCGTTTCTAGATCTTCTAAATTTTTCAGAAGTTCCATTAGTCCACATCATGTAAAACCTTTTGATTTCCCAGTGTTGGCATTTAAGTCAAATTTCATTTTTAAAAAATACACAGAGTAGATAAAATGTGTTGGTCGCCCTATCCAGCCCAGCAGCTGCCAGTTTCCATGCTTTATCCTATAAAATCACACAAGTGGCCGGGCGTGGTGGCTCACGTCTGTAATCCTAGCACTCTGGGAGGCCGAGGCAGGTGGATTGTTTGAGCTCAGGAGTTCGAAACCAGCCTGAGCAAGAGTGAGACCCCGTCTCTACTAAAAATAGAAAGAAATTAATTGGACAACTAAAAATATATAGAAAAAATTAGCCGGGCATGGTGGCGCATGCCTGTAGTCCCAGCTACTCGGGAGGCTGAGGCAGTAGGATCGCTTGAGCCCAGGAGTTTGAGGTTGCTGTGAGCTAGGCTGATGCCACGGCACTCACTCTAGCCCGGGGAAAAGAGTGAGACTCTGTCTCAAAAAAAAAAAAAAAAAAATCACGCAAGCGCCACAGCTTGGAATTCTAGACACTTTGGGATCCAGCTCCCTACACACACACACAACTCAACCTCCAGACATACTAATCTGAAATTCTCCAGAATAGCTGGGTTTAGTTCAACAAACTAAACTTTTCACGTGGAAATCTCTGCCCACTTCTTTACCCAGCAAGTTACTGTAGCTTTATGTCATCATTCAGGCATCATTTTCTCCCCCAGGAAGCATTTCTAGCCCCCTACCCCCATCTGATAAGGTGACTTCTCTGTGCTCACTGAGCCTCCAGTAATATTTCCATGCTCCTTGTATTGTGATGCTCCACTTCCATGTCACTTTTGAGCCCTGGAGCATTAGCACAAAGTCTGTCTCATGCTGGGTCTTCAGCATTAGAACATGGTGGCCAGCTGGACTCACCCAGGCAGCGCCCTCTGACCCAGTTTCATCTTCCAGTTCCAGTATTGAGGGACCCTGGGAATGAAGTCCAAATTCTGTGGATTTGCTGGGTGTCCTTGAAGCTCCTTTGTTCTCCAGGACCCCAGGCCCTTCTTGTGACAAATGATAAGTAAATGCATATTGCCAGGCACATACCGCACTGTTCTGAGAACCGAAATGAGAGCTCTGAATGGCCTTTTGAATCTCCCAAATCATTATCCTGGAGGGGCAGGTCCTATATGCAAACTGTATAATAAACTCCAGTCTGCATGAGGCTGCAATACAGCAGTGGCCTCTTACTTGAAGCTGAGGGGCACGTCCAGTTCTTCTGTTTCCCCAGCGCCCAGACCAAGACCTGCAGTCAGGAGGCTTTCAGGGAATGGTGGCTGAGTGAACAAATGCTGAAAGCATCACAAAGGGGAAGGGATTGAGGCACCTTACATCTGTTCCTAAGTGCAAAGACTTACCTGTCTCGTTCATGTCCATTTGCCCAACTCACAGCCTAATGCTTGGAATCGGGTCAAACCTCGGAAAATCTCTCTCGAGTAAGAGCGTGTGAGGCAAAGGTGCCAGAGAACCAAAATCCCAGGGGAAACATAAGCCCTTAACCTTGTGTTCTACCACGTTTTACCACCCCTTACTCCCCACTCTCCCTGGGATACAAGGATGGACTCCAGTGACCCTGTTGATAAGATTTATTATTCTCCGCTCCGTACAAGCCGCGTCTGCCACCCGCCCCCACCCCCACCCCCACAATCCAAAAGAGCACCAAACCACCCCCCTTGTGCCCTCCCAACTCTGCTAGTATTCCACTGTCCGGCCAGATTCCCAAGGAAGGGGGAGGGGCAGTTCGGACCCATCTCCACCAAAGCTTGTTGGGGGCAGAATGCTGCTGGAGGGGCCGATGAGGGTTACAAAGGAGGGTCGGACGGAGGATCAAGTTCAGTGTCTGATGGGATGAGGGGAGGGCGGAGAGGTCCAGGGTGGGAGTGATTCAGTCTTGAGTTTGTAGGGCATGGGCCTGGAGGAGGATAGTCCATCCGAGTCCCGAAGGATGGGACAACAGCGAGGAGGGGGAGAGACTCATCAGCAGCCCGGGAGCGGGGAGTCGAGAAGGGCATCTGATTGGAGTGGCGGATGGGAAACCCGCGCTCAGGCATCCTTCCCAGCCAAGGTGCCTGCCCCTGCTCCAGGGCCCCCGAGGCCCTCGGCCTTGTGTGCCAGGCGGTGTTTCTTGAGGCCGTAGGTGTTGGCGAAGCCCTCGCCGCAGGAGGAGCAGCGGAAGGGCCGGCCGCCCTGGTGGGCCGCCAGGTGCTTACGGAAGTAGCCCGGATCCTTGAAGGCCTTGAGGCAGGCGGGGCAGCGGAGCTCCGGCCTCGGCGGCTCATGGGCGCGCTGGTGTCGCAGCACGGAGCTCAGATAGAAGAAGCCCTTGCCGCAGTGCTCGCAGCGGTAGGCGCGCTCACCCAGGTGCAGCCGCTGGTGCTCCAGCAGGTTGGAGCGGTAGCGGAAGGTCTTGCCGCAGGCACCGCAGCGCTGAGGCCGGGCCACGGCGTGCAGCCGCCGGTGCTCCGCCAGGCTGGACGACTGCGCAAAGCGCTTGGCGCACACGCCACACTTGAAGGCCCGCTCGCCGGTGTGCACCACGCGGTGCTGCCGCAGGTACCAGGAGCGCAGGAAGCCGCGACCGCACACGCCGCACCGGTAGGGCCGCTGTTCCGTGTGGCAGCGCTGGTGGCGCATCAGCAGGGCTGCCTCCCAGAAGCGCTTCCCGCACACGGGGCAGCGGAAGCCCCGCTTCTGCCGGTGGCTGCGGCGGTGCAGGAGCAGGTCGTAGGCGCCGGCAAAGCTCTGGCCGCAGAGGCCGCAGCCCAGGGTCCGTCGCACCAGGTGCACGTACTTGTGAGTCACAAGGCCCAGGAAGTGCTTGAAGCTCTGGCCGCATGTAGCACAGCTGAAACGCTCGGGGCCTGAACTGGCAGCCCCGCCGGCACCTGCCACCGCCGCCCCGCCTGCATCTTCGCCCCCAGACACCCCTGCCAGAGCCGCCACGGCCGCCCCCACCTCTCCGGCCAACCCGTTGTCCAGCACGCTGGCCGCGTCGGTGCCACTGGAGCCATCCGGGGCCTGGGGGCCGCCGGGCGTGGGAGGCAGCAGGCGCTCAGGGGCAGCCTGGTGGACCAGCTTGTGCCACATGAGGTTCTCGATGAAGCCGAAGGTCTTGCCACAGGCGTCGCAGCCGTATGGCTTCTCGGACATGTGGGCCTCCTTGTGGCTCATGACGTGAAAGAGATCTGGGAAGTGCTCGCCACAGTCCGAGCAGGCGTAGCTCAGCCCATCGGTGGGCCCTGAGGACCCGGCTGAGGCCCCAGGCCCACAGGCCCCCGGCGTGCCCTGGGTGGCCGGGAGCCCGGCAGCCCCGGCCAGGGCGCAGGGCAGCTGGAGCCGGTGCACCTGGCGGTGGCGGGTGAGGCTCTGCGGGTAGCCGAAGACCTTGCCGCAGAGCTCGCACTTGTAGGGCCGCTCACGCGTGTGCACCACGTGGTGCTTGCTCAAGTGGAAGGACTCACGGAAGCGCTTCCCGCACACGGGGCACTGGTGGGGCTTCTCGCCAGTGTGGATGCGCTCGTGGCGCTTCAGGGTCTCACGGCGCCCGAAGCCGCGCCCACAGATGCCGCAGCAGAACGTCTTTCCAGGGACACTGGCGCCAGAGCCTCCCGCCCCGCTGGTCCCGGCCCCGCCGAGCAGCAGCGGGTGCGCCCCCAGGAGCGGGACGGGCACCGCACCGTACACTACGGCCGCTGCGGCGGCAGCAGCCTTCTCGCTATCTGTGGCAGAAGGGTCAGGGGGAAGGAGATAAGGGCCCGGGGGAAAGGTGGGCGGGGGCTGCGGGACTGAGGCCGCCCCGTCCTTGGGTGCGTCAGCGGGGGCGGCGGCAGCGGTCGGGGCATGGGCAGCCTTGTGCCGGAGCAGGCTCTGCGGCGCCGAGTAGGACTTGCCGCATAGGTCGCAAGGGTACACTGGCCGAGGGCCCCCGGTTCCCGCCCCGGCATGTGCCGCCTGGTGCTTGAGGAGGTAGGAGGCGTCGCGGAAGGCCTTCCCGCAGATG